CAAAGACATTTTTCACTAATGTACAGAAGTCAAGTATTTTTTATACTAAGTGATAGAAGGATTTAATAAATATTCAAAAAACGATCGATTAAAAGTACCTAATATTTTTCTCAATAGGCCCGGATTAGTTCGAGCTATCTTATGTACTTATCATTACAAACTACAATCACAAGTCCTTAAGCAGTACATACCGTTTAAATAGATATACCTGAACTGTGCTGCGGAGATAAAGATGGCGAGCTTGCTTTGGACCATAGTGATAAGCCTGAAATTCTGAGTTACAGTACATGTTGTTGGGCTTTGTTTGTTTGTTCTTTTAAGCACAAACCTGCATATTTAGTTATCTATGATGTGGCAGCTGCAGGGACTGAATTGCAAAGTTTAGCATTACAAGCCTTGAAGCTTAGCATTGAGTTATCGGGGGCGATGCAATCTGGGTTGTACTTTGAAACCAGCAGATGATTGAGAATCGACAAGAACAAGATGTTTACCCCTTCTCTATATATCAACACATATTTATATAATAAAATAAGTCAGCATCAGTGTACTATATAACATACAGATTGTTAATTTGTTTTCAGCAACTGTTGCTGGTAACATGGTAGCTGTCAAATATGCGATTAAAGCTAGTATATATATTACTCTGTTTTAAATAAGGATGTTTTGTTTAAAATTAGTTAGCATAGTTATGTAAGATGTATACATACCCAGCCTACCAATAACAAAATAGATTCCCGCTCCAGAAATAATGCCGTTTTATAAAGTAAACAAACATGAAACCTACTAATGATAACTTCATGTTCTCACTGGTACGCCATGTTCATGCCCCGCATGGCCAGGTGGTTAGTGCGCTTGACTTGCAGTTTGCGGGTAGCGGGTTCGAATCCCCGTTACACCAAACATGCTTGCCCTTTCAACTGTGGGGGCGTTATTATGTGACGGTCAATCCCACTATTCGTTGGTAAAAGAGTAGCCCAAGAGTTGGCGGTGGGTGGTGATGACTAGCTGCCTTCCCTCTAGTCTTACACTGCTAAATTAGGGACGGCTAGCGCAAATAGCCCTCCTGTAGCTTTGCGCGAAATTCAAAAACAAACAAACAAACGCCATGTTCAAAATATTTTTATGGGACGTAAATAGATTCCACCAGTCCTGCACAAACCTACGCTGAGACAAATATAACCTGAAAGGGTTGAAAATTATCAAGGGCGGATGCACTAACTATCTGAGTGACAACATTGCCGAATACCATCGAGTATGTGTGGTCCATCTTTGATTGTTCTCAACAAACAAACAACTTATATAGGGAATCTCTCACCCAAATCGTTCATAAGAAGTGTAGTACAATCCCACAGGCTCATATACAATCTTGTAATGTGTAACCATGTTTCTGCCTTAACCCTTTCAATACAACTTTTGTATTCCCCAAAACGAAGCGATATATTTATACGTGACCTAGGATACACCAAAAGCTAAGATAATCATATCCAATATGTATATCATATAGGTTAGTTAAAAGATTTATAAAGGCATTATAAAAAATAAGCACTCGTATTTTTACTAAATTTGTATTTATAAAGATATTTAGTGTTTTAATTGTGGAGTATGCAATTTTTTTGTATAGACACTGGTATTTAAGTTAATGTAAACGACTTTTTAATTATGTTTAAATTAGCAAGGTTAAATTACAATACAATCTGTTAAAGAATAATGGTGTTTTCATCTCCTCTTGAAGGCTATTGGCCATTTGGACCGTCAACTTGCAATGTCTGGGTTACTTGTGACGTTCTCGGTTGCACATCATCTATCATCCACATGTGTTTTATTTCTCTTGGCCGCTACTTAGGAATACGAAACCCGCTAAAAACTCACAGAAGATCAAAAAAGGTGGCACTCACGAAGATTATGATTGTCTGGCTAGTATCCATGGCAATAACAAGCCCAATAACAGTTCTGGGGATCATTGACACAGAAAATATACAACCAAATACTCAGGTGTGTGCCATTAATAACAGATTTTTTTTCATTTTTGGGTCTTTGTCTGCCTTTTATATCCCCATGATCGTCATGGTGACATCCTATGTCCTTACAGTTCGTCTGCTACAACAGAAGGCCAAATTTTGCGCAGACAAACCCAGTCGGAGAGTTCCCTTCATTCGGCGATCTGAAAGGTACTTGTTACAACACAGTACAAGAAGTAGAACAACAAGCATAGAGTGTAGCAAGTGTGACAGATGTGGCTCTTCTCAGTCTCAAGATAAGAGTGACGAAAACACATTTCATGATGACCATCAGAGAGAGCGGTGTGAGAATTATGATAATTTGCAAAATTCCCTGAAAAAGCAGCCCCACATAAAATTTAAAGTAATCAGTGGCATGATCTGTATTCTGGGTTCCAGATCTCATGTAATGAACGAACAAAAGGCGACCAAAGTTCTTGGGATAGTATTTTTCTGTTTTGTCATCTGTTGGACTCCTTTCTTTACTTTGAATATCTTATTTCCAATAATGGATCCAACGACCTTTTCTGACTACCTAACAACTACTTTTCTATGGTTGGGCTACGTGTCATCCACCATTAATCCTATCATTTACACCATTTTTAACAAGACGTTCAGAAGAGCTTTTTGGCGACTTCTCTCTTGCACATGTTGTTTAACTAACATTAGATCTCCCATCAATGAAATGGTCATGTGGCCAACAAGCTCTAAACGTTTTGCTAACGTAGCTCACTCCCCCCCGCCTAACCATACAGGATCAATGTAAAGACTGTTGGTATGATGTTATAAAGCCATAAGTCTAATATGTTAATACTGATTAAGTATTTATCAATTAACTACTTGAGACTTGTTATCTGTTTACATAAAAAAAACCTCAAAACTTGAGTAATTATGAAGCCAAAATGTACCGTTTTTCCCCTAAATTAAAAAGGGTATAAAAGTCAATTGGCGACTACCTAGATATAAACAGAGACATATAAGAGAAACAAATATTTTGTCAAAACTCAGAAATGAAGTAAGTGTAGAAGTGTACATGTTGTTAGAAATATAATGTCACAGTGAAAAATAAAAAAAAAGATCTGATACAATAGACTTTAATCAAATATTCTGTTCTTGTGTGTTTTAATAACAAGGTATTGTTAAATGTATCATGTTTATATATACCTTTTGTTGTACACCTTAATACGTGTAGATGTGGTTTACTGAGAAATTAAAACAGAAGAATTGTATAAACGCAGAATGGACAAAGTTTTCTTGTTATTTGAATATGTGAGGAGACAAAACACGTAAAGTAAACCAATGTACAGTCATGAAAAAGATACATCTTATATTCTTAGGATAATAAAGTAAGTATCTATGTCTGAAGCCACTAGTAAGCGATAAATAAAAGCGTTTTGCGATTTTGTATTTTGAATTATGACCTAAGGTTAAAGTATTGAAAGTGAATTTTTGTTAACACAACCATAAGTTAAAAAATAACACTTGATTTACTATCAAACAGCAAACAATGTTTATTTTGTATTTTTTGATTCTTTGTTGAAAAAATGTTATTCTCAATTTCTTTCCTCGTTATTACTGAGAAGCAGGAAAATGATATCTGGAAATGGAGAGAAAATGAAACTTTAGTGAATAAAACAATGAACGTATTTTTATTGAAGGGTCAATTATTGGTGTTGAGCAGTGCAACTTCGAGAATAGGAATGCTGACCAATATGGTGTTCCACCTTAGTTAAGAAATATAACCGACCCAATCTTTCGCAAGAGAAACTGTGACGTATGTGGTGATTCTTCCCAGTCATCGTCCCAGTCCAGTCACTCGAGATCATAAAAAAAATTTTCAGGGGAGCGTTAGAGTTTTTTAGTTTTATTGCATTCTGATCATGATTTTTCTACTTTTACACATTACAATTTACTGACATAGCTTTGTCTCACTTCAACACTACCCTAATCTCCGTCTTGTCTCACTTCTACATTCTCCTAATCTCTAGATATCCTTAATTTTAAACTAATAGATTAGATCAAGGCCTGTAATGACCTGGTGGTTAGGGCGCTCGACTTGCGTTTTTGTAGCTTCGTGTGAAATTTCTAAAACAGACTAAACTTTACAGTAAGTGAAATGAATCCCAACTAAAACCCATTAAATCAACAAAAACCAATGTGATGGACGGTTATATCACCTTACAATAGAGGAAAATAGACAGAATGACAAAAAATGATAAAAATAAATCAGTGTTAAAGATAATTTTCAGTAAGTCGTAAATAATTTATGTGAAAGTAAAATAAAGATGAATGTTTAAGAAAGAGAGACTGTTTACTTTGAACTTTAATCTATAAAGCTTTGATGTCTTCCATGAAGTTTTTCGATAAACAAAACATCAAGTTGTACCAATATACAGGGTGGGACAAAACTGACTACACAGTTATTTTGTTTATAACAGTTTAATTTCTAACGTGTCACTCCGAAACAAACAATTATATTTATTTCAACTGTCTTTATAATACGTTTTAGCACCAACCGTTCAAGACCAGCGCATCAACTGTAGAGTAAGTAATTTTTGACTCACCCTATACATTAAGAGTAGTACAAAATTAGTCTTCAGGGAAAATAGTAATATAAATTTTGTAATATTTTTACTTTCATAAACTATCTTTTCCATTAACGTCAGAAAACCAAAACCAAAACACAATTATACATTGAAGCTCTGCATATACTTTCACTATAAAGACACTTGGCAGTTTCGACAAAAACAAATGTTAATCCTCATATTGTAACAAATATGGAATTTTTTTGTCTTTAAATTTGGACTATATCTTTCTGTTATTTTTTAAAAGTAATGACGTCACAAAGTTTCAATCTTTATATAGCTTTTCACTTGACCTGACTGATCAAT